GTGAATAGTTCAATATGTCAAGTATTATTTTTAAAGGTGTACAATTTTTTTACCTATATTAATTATTATAACTTTGCTTCAAAGCAATTTGTGCTCTGTAAAAGTTAGCAACAAAGTTATAATTGATTTTTAATTTTTTTTTCTAGTTGCTAGCCTAGTGCTTACTTGATTCTAAAGTGAGGACTGTGTTGCAAGTGACTTGTACTTTGTATTATTTCATCCAGAGACCAACAGAGTTTGTATACTTATTTTTAACAATGAAGTCATTAAATTTTTAAATGAAAAGTTCAGACTGGTTTTATGTATTCTATATTCTGTACAGTCTACTGCATAACATACACACATTTTAAAGTTGAACTGTTTTGTGATTGTTAAAGCTTTTTACACACAGTATTGATCATTAAGGGCAAAGACCTGTTTTTGGACATGTAATCAGTGTAAAATGAATATAGTAAAGTAAGATTTTTATTTTTTTTATATATTTTTGCAACTCAGAAATGCCATGATAGAATAAGTTTCTAAATGTCATTCAATTGTGAAAACCTTTTCTAATCACTAATGCCCCAAAAAATGGGAATAAAGCAAGTTGTGGATGTTTCACCTTTTTATCTGGAAACTATGCCATTGACCTAGACCCTGTCCACACTAATGCGTTTTCCAAACGCTCCGTTTTCATCGAAATGAAAACGCATCGTTTTCATTTTATCCACACCAGCGTTTTCATAGCATTTTCGGCTGTCCTCACTAAAACACTTGAAAAAGATGTGTGATGCATTTAACTGCGCATGCTTATACATAAAACGCCCACGGTTGTTGCGACATCAGCGACATTAGGGAGCTTTAGCAAAGACTACGAGTACGACTGCGAGTACGATTTACGTTATTTTGGCGCGAAAACATTGTTGCGACAACAAAAACACGTAGCCGTCATCAATCTGAGTACGATGTTTTGTAAAAAATTCGTAGTCGTGACTACGATGTCTTTTTAAGCACAGAAAGTAGGTATATTTCTTCATTCTGTAAGAAATTAGTTTACAGTACTATTTTCGAGCAGCTAGGCTTTTATTTAGAACCTTTTTGGAGCGCAGATGTACATTAAAAAGGAAAATATGACCTGCAAAACTTTCATGTATTTCGTACGCAAAGTGAAAGGTAAACAAACAATAAAATAGTACAAATATATCGTACATAAAACTTAAAATAGTGAAGATTTTTCAGTCTAAAGAGTCCTATCTTCTTGCAAAATCAGTATTACCGATTTTTTGATATCATTATTGACAAATAGAGCTGTAGCTGCTTCGCAAACTTTGATGTTTTACACAATAAAAAAGCTTGTTCTGTTGTTTACAGCTAAAACTAAATTTTGACGAAGCGACAATGACAACAAACTTCCTCATGCCATTCCCTTACACGGTCAAACTTCGTACTCGTTGTCGTAGTCGTACTCTTGCTAAAGCTCCCTAATTTCCAAGATTTCAGGACGACATTGGCGTCATCGTTTTTAAAAGACTCCGTTTTTGACCGTCCACACTAAAACAAAACGCATCCGTTTTCAAATTGCTCCACTTTGGAGAGCGTTTTCGAATCGATCCGTTTTCATTTGGCAGTGTATCCGTTTTTGAGTCTTTCAGCGTTGGCGGAAAGAAAAAACGCATCAAAAAGTATCCGTTTTCAAGCGAAAACGTATTAGTGTGGACGGGGTCCTAGCCTTCATGCTGGCTGAGTATTGTAAAAATGCTTCAAAAAAGAAAGTGAACAAAATGAAAGCAGTCCAAGTCACTACATCTCTACAGCCGCATGCCTTAGCTATTGGTCCTTACCATTGAGTTCTATAATAACTGGAGCGGCTATCTCAAGCGCGGCCTTAGATATCTGATGAGGCCAAAAAAATGGCGGATTTCGTCCGTTGCCGCTGAGATTTACTGAAATTGACCGCTTTTCCGAAAATTTCGCAATTTCCCACTCCCTCCTGAGGAAAGAGTGAAGAAAATGTATGTGTGTATTTGGGATTCGGCAAGCAATTTTTTGATGAAAATCACGATAAAAACCTACAATTCGTAACAGCGAGTCAACCTAGCTTTCCAGTTATCGGCTCTAACGAGGATGTATTTATAACTATCGACGAAAGAGCTATATGTCGGCTACGCTATGAATGCAGATATGCGTCGTTTTCTTACCAGCGTCAAACTTGTTTGATCGATTAAACTCTTTAGTCTATACAAAAAAGTATATTATAGCTCATCTCCACAGTGGTTCACGGGAGAGAATTTAGCTTATTTGTTATCATTGCTATTTTGCTTCTTTTCGTGGAAAGGCAATGGCTTTTTTCGCCACAATTGTAGGATTTTTACTTGTTTCTTTAAAAAAGTAAATATTAAATCTCTGGATATTTACGGATTTTCTGTAATTGAGTTTCATATTAAATTTCAAAAAGACTCAAGTCTACATAGGTTTGGTAAATGAAAACAAAAAATATTGTATAGAAATTACTTTAAGTAACCTTTTTGTGATGTTCTGAAGTGCAACTGCATCAAATACTTGTAAAGTTGTAGCACATTTTGATTTTGTTGTATTGATATATAAATTGGGCAAAATGCAAATAATCATCAAAACACATATGCTTCCAATGGTGTTTATAATTCATTTTTAGTTTTAATACTTCTACCCTTCTTTTTCACTTTGTTTTGTTTTTCCTATATTTGCAATATAAGTGCACAATTTGAATGATTAACACAGTTTTCACCTCAATAATAAATTTCATAAGCAGTTGGTAGTGCATTTTGTTCTCTGAGTATCCACATTTGGTGTTTTCTTCATACATGAATGATGAAATGCATATGGATATGTCATAGCAAGGCAATAAAACCAAATGAATTAAATACCTATAGTGTACTTTTATGCTAGAAGCTTAAAAGCTTTCTAGAAATTATAAAGTTATTGGATTATATTACCTCTATATCATCAATGTCATGAAAAGAAATAAGAAGCAAAATATTTGTAGAAAAGCTTTGAAAAATGAAAAGCATTTATTTAAAATAGCAGCAATGATGCATATGATAAATCTCCATTCTGTACTCTAATAGATAAATAAGCTCAAACTGTTTCTTAAAGAAATATATAAGAAATATACAGTACTGTAAGTTTAAAGGTTTCATCACTGAATCTTTAATGCTTCAGTATAGTGCATTAGATATTAGTAACACTCAACTAAAATATTTTGATAAAGATATGACATGATTTAAACATTAAGTTATATATAACCCAATGGCTTATACAGTTTGATGCTTCACATCTGCATCGAGTCCTCATCAATCTCAGTACAAATGTTTACATAGACACAAACTTTATGGCCTTTCCATTTTATATGTTGTGAATTGACATTTAATTAAGCATCAAAACACACACAACCTTCTTGCCATCTTTTTTTAGTTCATGAACTTTAACTTCAAAGCATTCAAGGCATCATTAGTGAATCCATTGTCTCCATCCATAGAATTTGACCATGATCAAATTAAATAACTCTGGATAAGGCAGACAATAAATCAATTATCTTTACAGCATTATCATTTTTTAAGACTCTGCCTGGTCAATAACATCTTCCAGCCATCTTTATTCCTTGGTCTTCCCTGCATGTTGCCAGCAAATAAAACATAACAAGCTCTGCTCCAAATCATGGGTACTGTTGGGGCTGATCATTTCTTTTTGATACTTACTCACAGAGCAAAATGTGTGCAGGGTCTTTTTTGCTTTAGGGAAACTATTTTGCAAATAGATAGGTAAATTAACGATTTCATGCATTAACAAATGACAGAAAAGTATGCAGAATTTTATAGACAAAAACAGGAAAACATCAGTATATTTGGCGTTCAAGTCAGTCTTAAAAAATACGATCTTTAATATGTATTTTATGGCTTTTCAAGTGCATATATAATTTCTTTTCAATCGTTGACGGACTAACAAAACAAACAACTACCTCACCTGTGAGAAGCGATATGTTCCTTTTTGTGGAAACTACGACATCCAACAATTGAACGACTGAAGTGTTGGCATTATAAAAGAAATGTCAAAAAAGAATCGTCACAGAATATGGAACTAACGATATCCATATTCTGTGATATCGTGTTGGTTTTTGAAAAATTCTTAATAATTTACTATAGACACCAGGGGGAAGTCGAGAATATTATTTTTCTGCAAAGCGATCATTTCAGCGGAAATACGTCCGTTGGCCGCCATTTTTTTGGCGACCTCGCCCCAGTAAAGTTAGCCACTCCAGTTATTATAGAACTCAATGGTCCTTACTGACTACCAGAAGCTAAGCAGTTGGAGCTAATATCAAGATAGACAATATGTGTCGGATTTTCTTCTCATGAAGTGTTTCAAATTCCGCATTAGTCTTAAATGCACTAATACTCTTTCATAGGACTGAATTAGATGACAACAGGCTGTTATTCGACGGCAAATCAGCCATTCCGTATCCTCTACTTGTCTGCAGTACATTAAAAAACTTAAAGACGTATTTAATGAGAAATTGCCAGTCCACACAATGAGCGCAGGTGTCGGTGAAAATATTTTAGACACCATGAAGTCCATATAGCACTAATACCAGTAGGCCGTAGCATCCGAAAATGTTAAAAAAACTGTTTGTAAGAATGCGCATTCATTACGCCATTATTTTGCGAATTGCAATTGTGCAATATTTTATAATCAAAATGCAAAACAAAGCCAATCAGTCTCAAATTCTACAATTTAACTCACTTTACATCTCCTCCTTCGTTTATTTTCCTAGTAAACATTCTATGCTTTACTGGCTAAAGCAATGGCGGCCGTTAAATCTTGGTGAAATGCAGTGGCGTGCTGGGAACATTTTATCTAGGTAGGCCATTGATAAAAATGCACACAAAAATTTCTAACTTTTGAAAACGAGGTTCGAAGACTTGAGGCAAGCACCGCAGGTGCAAAGCCATGGCTGATTTAGAGTAAGTCAAAATAAATTACAACGGTACATTTTGGCGTATATTAACATTTCTAAGCACCTTAAAGTAAAATCCATTGGTAAAATTATATTCTTTAGAAACAAAAAACCAATATTGTTTTTTGAATATAATTTGAATTTGAAATTGAAGAGCTATAATTTATTTTTAAGTACACTGGATCCGCCACTGATTTTTAAGTTTAAAATCTCTGAAATCCCATTTCCCGGACTTTGGGGTAAGATTTGACAAAAATGTTATGGTAAAGAGATGGTATAATAGCATATATAGATAATTTGGTTAAGATGATTAGTGCCATAAAACGATGAAAATTTTTTCCATTAGATCTTTCTAATGTGATGATAACATTCCATTGTCATAATTTGATCAAATGTTTGAAGAATTTGGAATAAAATCATTTTCTCTTGTCAAATTTTCATCCACAGATGATCTGTTGTAACGTTCCTTTATAAAAAGAAGAAGTACCGTTGATACAGCACAAGTTCCCACTGTAGCCCAAAGCATCCATTTTGTACCAATGTTTCCCAATGGAAGAAGGAGAAACAGCGACGACACGAAATTGTTAAGAAACGCCAAAACACTTGAAGTAATACCCTCGGCTACCGGATATGTCAACTCAACACCTAACTCATAGAAGAGCGGTATTGTTCCGTTGACAAAAAATCCACTGAGGCAAAACAAAACATAAACTAAACTTCTTTTAAATCCAACAATTCCAGTAAAAACGTAATAAATCAAGAGGATAGAGCAAAAAGAACATGCCATAAAGCTAATAAGCAATAACTTTAAATGTCCAGAAAAACGATCAGCAAATCTACGAAATAAAAAGAGAAAATGAGGTCAAACGTGTTTAAAACCCATAGTCATACGGTACAATGCTATTATTTCTCAAAAAGAATAGATTTTAAGAGAAATTTATCTTTTTGCGTGTTTCCTCTTACGTAAAGTATTAAGCATTATAAAATAACATAAGCAAATTATCGTCCTCTGATTGGTCGATGAAGCGTTGTTTAGATCAGGCCATCGAAAAATGGAAATTGAAATGGCTGTCGTCGGCATGCTGTCGTGAATTTTTAGCATAAACCTAAAAACAAAGACGATTTTTTGGAAGTGCATTTTAGGCGTATTAAATGCAATTTTAAATCAAAAAAAGATTGGTTACTGTGTTTAGATGGCTTTTTCCAAACTTTTGGGAATGTTACTCGGCTTCGGTTCGCGTTCGCATATAGTTCGTGTTCGTGTTTGAAGACTGTATAGTCTTCTTGAAGTTTGTGAAAACATAATCGTCCCACATTGGCACGCGTATGTGGCTAACAAAGAGTTCCTTCGTCCATACTTGAACATTTCTTCGTTCGAACCAATAAATTGTGTGAATTGATTTTCATCATAAATTGTTTGTTGACATCCTTCTTAACTTTTTATTAGAAGGAGAGTGAAAACAATTTTTTCTGCAAAGCAGTCAATTTTGGCGAATATCAGCGGAATTTGACCAATTTCACCATTTTTAGTGTACTCAAGACGTGCACTCAAGCTATATATACTCGGTGAATAATATATCATAACATCATCAGGGGCCGGTACACGAAGCCTGGATAGCGTTATCTATGGAATAGCAATTTTTTTAAAACTTTTATAAAACCTTTCAAAAAGCAAAAAAAATATAAGTTTCAAACTGAGCAATCACTGAACATCAATCAATTTCGAAGACTACAAAATTTCTTTGTCGTAAGACAAACACAAACTCCTGACAAATTTGAAAATATGTACTATCTAATGGATAACGCTATCCAAGCTTCTTGCAAACGGCCTCAGTTCACCAAATAGGAAAACGAACACTTACACAGAAAATAACACACCAGAAAAAGCACCACTAGTGACGGCAGAAAATCCAAGCAGTCCAGCAAAATGTTCATTCACCTGTATCCCGTAATCCGAGAGGTTCTGATACAAAACGGCACACCAACCACTAAAGACACCAGTAGAAGCTCCGTATATTGTGGAAAGAAGGAGAAAGTTGAAATTCTTACTCAGCTCTCGTGCACCTTTTATAAAATCTATACGATCTTTGGACGCAGAAAGACTTGGCGACGTTGCTGGCTTGGATGGATAATATGCTAATACGACAAAGAATAAAACTGTCTGTAGTGAGGCCTCGAAGTATAATAAGGTATGAATTTGCCTTTCGTATTTTTTCTCTTCAGTTGTGTTGAGTCTGTAATTATCACCAATTTTTAGAGCATTCGAATCTTTCACATCGTCGACGAAAGCTGGCCCAATGAGAAAAGACAGGGAGAGTCCCACATATGCTGCAACAGTTGATATTGCAGTGGCAGTGGTTCGCTGATTCTTGGGAAACCATGTTGACGACAAGAGCGGTGGTGCTGCCAGAAATATTGGACCACCCAAACAACTGATTATTTGACCACAATAAATCAAAACAGTTGAAGTTTGCGTATTGCCCGTAGGTATGGCACGTAAAATTGTCCCCAGCGTTTGCATGGCAGCTGCTAACAACAATGTGAAACGCAAACCTGAAGAAAAACAAAAAACATGTGATGCACTTGAATTTTATATTTAGGTTTAAGCATTTCAAGTGGACGACAATTTTCTTTAGATGATATATGTTTCGGCATGCTTATGCCATCTTTAGTACAAGAGTATGATTTCTATCTACTGTTATATTTATGTTAGTTAAGTGAGAGGTATCGAATTACTAGATGATGGAATTATTTACAAGTTCAATATCGTGTTGACATGTTGTATTTGTTTATTGAGGTTCAGTTTGAGTTTTTTTTTATGTAGAGCGCTTCCTTGAGTTTCAAAGAGAAAGAAGATTTAGCGGTGTCTAAGATGCAAAAACAAGAATGACTGTATTTGATTTCACATTGTGGTGAAGTTTGGAGGTGTTTGTAAATATGCGAGTTTTTGTCAGAATGTGTTTGCTCTATGACGCGTGTGAACTACTCACCAAAAAGCGTGACGAAACTCGAACAAATAAACATGTGTGGTCACATAGCATTCGATTATAAAGCAAAAAGTAAATAATTATTTATTTAAGATACAGCTTTATATTTTTCTGGTTTTTTTTTACACTTCAATTTGTTAAGCAAGCTACAACTTCTTATAACTTTTTTCCACCCAAAAACTGTATAGGCCTGTACTTGGTTTAAGTCAAAATTGGATTCGATAAACTTTGCATCATACGAGAAAACGTTTCAATATTATTGTGACATTAAATAATACCTTTAACGTCCATAAACCAAGCAAAAGGTAACATTGAGACACAAAACATAATGGTGCCCAGGGCAACAATGAGATCAATGATCCATTCATCCCATTTATAAACTGCCCTAGCTGTCGTCTCTTTAGGACTAAATGTGTTCCAAATAGCAATCTGCATGATTCCATTGATGCAGAATATCAACAGAACGTACCAACGTTTCTTGTAAACCTGCACATGTTCGCTTGCATCCATGTTTTCATGAACAGGCAGAAGACATGGATTGCTCTCATTTGGGTTACTGAAATCATCACAATGCTCGTAATCATCCATCTAAACAAGTGAAATACGAAAATAAAACGTGATAAAGTATTGGTTTTTTGACCTCAACGACAATGTAATATATGTTAAGATGAAATATACTTATGAATATTGTGCATGTAACAGAGTTGACAAAGAATATTGAAATCATCCATTTCGTAAACTCAGGTAATCATAAAATAAGTTCGTGCGTTATGTTGACATAGCGTTTCACCTTACTCTTCTAATGCCAAAGCTCTGGAACAACTGAACATTGATAAACTTCTGGAACACCGCGAGAACTTTTCATTTAGGTCTTTCCAAAATAATTTCACTAACGCTTATTTGCAGAATGTCCACTCGTAAAAAATGTGACTGATTGCAAGAGAAAAGAATTTTTGTCAAATGCTATCGGTGGATTATCGGTTACCAATTATTTCAGATACGGGTGATCAATTGAGTTTGTTATTACTAGATGATTCACCTATATAGGTTTTCTCAACTCTACAGTCACAGGCTCACACCCGGAGTATACTATCTACGCATGACAAAACCATTCAGTTTCCGGATCGTTTGTTGTCAAAAATTTCAAATCTTCATTCGAAGAGTTGAAAAAGAAAGAAGTTGTTCTTTTAATGACAAGGAAGACTATTTTACCAGTTCAGTCATTTTGTATTCCTTTCAGTGATTTAAGGTAGTTTATAAGAGGATAGTGCAATAAACGCCGCTCTTGAATAAGAACCCAAGACCCGCTTTCACTATACCGTATTGTTTATGTATCGGATGATTTCCTATCCGATAGAAATATTATATGTGCTCACTCTACAATGCCGTTTAGCTCTTGCGAAGTCTCTATTGTCATGGTAACAGATAGTTTTGCGCCACGCGATAGAAGATTTTGGCGAAAGCAAAGGACAAAAACTTGAAAGCATGGAAAGGCTATAAGATATTTTTCGAAAGTTTAACAAAGACATCGACTGGAAAGATGCGGATACAAAAGAAAGACAAAATGCTAAACTATTATACGAATTCTACTCTAATAACGAAAATAAGAAGCATATAACGACTACAGTTGATCTCGTGAGATAAATAGCAACAACTGCAAAATTGCGGGCATAACAAATGTTAAATATTGCACCAAATTGAAGTCTTTACTATCGGCGTTCTATCACACTACGCCGCCACGTATCGCATTGCTTTTCGTGTGACATTTAGAGCTTAGTGATTTTCGCTACGCTAGACGTGTCGGATTGATCCGACGCAGTGTAGACAGCAGTCCAAATCCGACACAAAAATAACGGCGAGACGTTGCAATCCGGTATAGTTTAAACAGGGAAAGACTGCGTACTCCGTTGTAAGACTGTGATACATAAATTCATTGCTAACAAACCGAACGTAAAAAAATAACCTTTCTCTCATCAAATTGAAATTGATTGAAACAACCAACTTGGACAGGTTCATCAATCATGCTCACAAAATGCAAGAAATGAGAGAATATTAGTAATTGTGATAATGCAAGGCTGTCGCTAACCCTTGTAGTTTTCAAGTGTCCATGAAAATACAAACACGCTAGTCAATTCATTCAACTGGTATATTTACTATGATGGAATTTGTTAAAATGTCAATTCACCTCTAGATAATATCTGTATAGCCCTGAAGCTATATATACTATACAATATATTTGCGCATGTAGTTATTATATTTATCTATTCAAAATAATGTACATTGCTTCCTTGTATTAGTGAATGCTATAATAATACATTCAAAATGACAATATCAAAGATCATTTATGATTCTCTGTTTAACGGTAAATTTACATAGCTAATACGTGTTAATTCATTGACTCAATAATGATTGAAAAAAACGGAGGTTCACTATTTTCAGCTAATGTATATACACATCAAAAGAAAACTATAAAAGCGATAACTTATGTAATCAAACAAAATTAGGACATTAAACAAACCTTAATGCAAGATATAGCTCAAAGCTGGCAAAATGGTTTTGCTCAGTGAACTTCAGCGACCTTCAACGTGGGTATATGGACTCGGTAAATTTATCAAATCATAATACTGTGGTAATGTTACTATCAATGTCCTCCGCCAGCAACAACAAACAGGAAATTCATAACGGCTATCGTATGTCTCAAATTAACATTCTCACATTACTTACACGATTTTAGAATAGTTCACCAAGAAGAAAACGTGGTTGATTGCCTGCTCGAGAGAACATAATGAGACATTAACAATTCTTTCAAGCAATCCAATTTTCTTCTTGGGTTAGAAAAAGTAAATTATATAATTGAAGTGTTATTGTTAAAGTAATTTATTTTGAAGACATTTTCCATTAAAACATTGAAAAGTTAAGAAACACGTAAAACTAGTTTTTGCAAGATGACGTTAATAATGTAACATGGTATAAAGGGAATATAAATGAAGGCTATTTTGATCAGTTTTATTGGTATGAAGTGAAGTATAGCACTCACATGGATTAAGCTTCTGTGTATTGTGCAATATCGTAATATATATTTTAGACTGTCACCCCTAAAATCAGTGGGCACATTTGGGATGCCCCCACAAATTGATGTCCGCTTATGAGTGGTTGTGAATATAGTAAGATAGTCTAGTGTATTGGCAGACACCTGAAAGTAGTGTCCGCTTAAAGGAGACATCTGCTTCTTACATTTGTTCGTTAGTATAGAGTTCCAGTTCGAATTAATGCATACATATATTGTCCCTCTCATCATGATTTTTTCTTATCTAATGTTTTGCGCAAAATTAAATTTGGAAAGTATGCACAATCGGAAGTCCGGGACTATATCCATCGCATTTTTTAGAATGACGAATCCGATTGTCAGAAGCTCTCTTTATATATGTGTTCACACAATCTGTTTTTTGGATGCAAAAATATCGTCTGAATGGGCCTTTATTCAACTGGTTTCTTTATACATAAATTTAGACTAAAAATTTCTAATGGTGCATAGTTTAAAGAAAAAGGGTTCACTTCACCAACTATTTGCTACAAAAGTTTTACATCTCCGATGGGACTCGAACCCACAACCTTTGAATTAGAAGTCCAACGCGCTAATCCATTGCGCCACGGAGATCACATGTTGAGATTGTCGCTATGCATAGTGGAGCATTTCACGCAATTAAATTTTCTACATGATTTGCTGATGATTTTCTGGCCAAGCTTTTTTGGCAGGTATCAAAGAACTTTGTAAAAGTTTCTGTTTCAACATTAATGCTGGCCTTCCGTTCTTAGCTTTTAAATAGCTGATCAACATGCGGATAAAAAATAAAACTTTGAGTTGTATCTGTCTGGAGCTGGTTTTTTCATGTAGAAGAGAAAAAGCAATCATCATACAAATAGTAGACAGAATTAGAGTAAACAATGATTTAGATTACTGAAATAAATCAAAGATTCTATACTAAAATTTCAATAATGTTTTACCAATATGCATATTTGTAAACATTCAATTATATAGCATTTTTAAGACTTGTGCATTTGTGTTTTAATCAAAGATTGCTTAGTTCGCCTATTTAAAGTTGGGTGAAACATAAGGGTTATGACAAAATTATAAGGATTGAAAAAACGTACACAAACATAATTCTAAATTTTAGATATGGCAGCCAAGACAGGACAGAAAATGGTTATATATTCATAGCTAATTCCCCATAAAAGTTAAATTTCTGAAAAAAAAATGCCTGAATTTTTTCAGAAATTTGAATTTTATGGAGAATTAACGATGGATATATATTATTAAAACAGCCACAGTTGTTGTGTTATCTATTTATGTTATCCAGTACATTTATCAATACATTTTGCGTATTTTTCTCCTTGTTTTCAAGTCTTTTTCTTATCTAATGTTTTGCGCAAAAATTAAATTTGGAAAGTATGCATAATCGGAAGTACGGGACTATTTCCATCGCATTTTTAGAATGACGAATCCGATGGTTAGAAGCTCTTTTTATATATGTGTTCACACAATCTGTTTTTTGGTTGCAAAAATATCGTATGAATGGGCCTTAAGTCAACTTTTTTCTTTGCACATAAATTTAGATTTAAAATTTCTAATGGTGTATAGTTTTTCTTTTTTAAAGAAAATAGGGATTACTTCAACAACTGTTTGCTATAAAAGTTTCACATCCCCGATGGGACTCGAACCCACAACCTTTGAATTAGGAGTCCAACGCGCTATTCCATTGCGCCACGGAGATTCACGTGCAGAAATCGTCGCTCTGCATAGTGCAGCATTTTATGCATTTAAAATTTCTGCATGATTTGCTGATGATTTTCTGGCCAGGCTTTTTTAGCAGGTACCAAAGGACTCTGTAAAAGTTTCTGTTTCACCATTAATGCAGGCCTTCCGTTCCTAGCTTTTAAATAGCTGATGAACATGCGGATAAAAAATAAAACTTTGAGTTGTATCTGTCCGGACCTGGTTTTTACATGTGGAAGAGAAAAAAGCAATCATCATACAAAAAGTACATAGAATTAGAGTAAACAGTGATATAGATTACAGAAATAAATCAAAGACTCTTCACTAAAACTTCAATAATGTTTTACTAATATGCATATTTGTAAACATTCGATCATTTAGCATTTTTATGACTGTGCATTTGTGTTTTAATAAAAGAATGTTTAGTTCGCCTATTTGAAGTTGGGTGAAAAATAAGGGTTATGACAAAATTATAAGGATTAAAATGACTTACACAAGCATAATTCTAGATTTTAGATATGGCAGCCAAGACAGGACAGACAATGCTTATATATTCATCGCTAATTCCCCATAAAATTTAAATTTGTAAAAAAAATAGCCTAAATTTTTTCAGAAATTAAATTTCATGGGGAATTAGCGATGGATGTATATTATTATTACATAATGTCTTTAACTAACTGAGGTGAGGGACATATTGCTGGTAAAAGATAAGGCCCTTCTAAAAATGCGTTCTGCGTACGTACATTTTTCATAGTGGCGACAGATTTCACAGTTAACACAAACCACTGTGACGGGGGGTTGCTAAGATTTGGTTTCTCAGTTCAGGTATTCGCGAATTTCATTTTTACATCAAAGCACAATTGAAATGATAAACTGAATTGACTGTTTGGCATCTTTGTGCTGTTATGAGGGAAAGTAATGTCGTTAGTTTTTTGGCAAGCCTTTTGAGACTTATGGCTCGCTAATTGTTCTGTTGATTGAAAATACCTAAGTAGTTTACCGATATCCCAAACATATGAATATCGCGGTAAAGAGGGTTTTAATTCAAAAATGCCTTAAATAAACCGTGTCACAAATGGGTGTTCTCTAAAAGTGTGATGGTCGTGTAAATTGAGAACAGACGAGAGAGCTGAGCGTGCAGTGCTTATTGCAATATATCCCAGTTTATTCTTGTAAAAATATGTTAAGAAATCCAGTCTTTCGTTTACTACGGCCTGTTCTGGGCGATCTGACTGTTACCGCAAGACACTGCCAATCGCTGCAAGTAAGTGGAGTATTGCTTAATTGACTACCCAACCAGGACGATAATATGATGTCGATTGTCTCTTGATGGAGCCAGATTCTCAAAAAACTTGTTCACGATAACAGATAGACCATAAGCTTTAAGCTTTTGTGCATAGGGTGAGTCTCCCGCTGTTGATCCGCCAGTGTTAGAAGTCGGAGTTCCGGTTGTAGTTGGACATGATCGCGAAAGCACATACTCATGGCTTTCGGATGCCAAGACTGCGTGGGCCAATATTAAATAACATAGATTTCTGTTGCCCACTCCTCGCTAATTTTCTTTAAATGAGGAACTGATTGCACTGAAAGGAGGGAAAGCAGAAAAGTTTATATTTGATAAGTCTACTGAAAATACGTCAACTTCCGTAGCACCTTGGTCAGGTCGATACGAAATGTATGTATTGTGTATTCAGTTGGGAGGCAAACACATCCGTATCAGGTTCAGACGCTATTTTAGAGAGAGCCTCGTTGAGGTGCAATGGATTTAGCATTCACTAAGTATTAGATGGTTTCCTGGGAGGCTTAAAATTGGCATCGGTGTTTTCTACCCTTGAGACATGGGCTGCACTGAACGATAATTAGCGTTTGATGCACCATTCCCAAATTTCGTTGCATGAATCATTGCAAAGTAAGGAGTGACTAGTACCAATATGGTTTATCACAGCAACGGCTGCTGTGTTGTCTATTTATATTATCCAGCTTATTTATCAATAAATTATGCGTATTTTTCTCCGTGATTCCAAGTTTTTTTCTTATCTAATATTTGCAAAATATCGCAAAACATTTGCAAACTATCTTATCTAATAATGCAAAAATATCATATGACTGGGCGTTTAGTCAACTTAATTCATTGTACATAAATTTAGACTACAAATTTCTAATGGTGAATAGTTTTTTTTTTAAAGAAAATAGTGTTCACTTCACCAACTGTTTGCTATACAAACATAATTCTAAATTTTAAATATGGCAGCCACTACAGAACAGACAATGCTTATATATTCATAGCTAATTCCCCATAAAAGTTAAATTTCTGAAAAGAAATGTCTAAATTTTTTCAGAAATTTGAATTTTATGGAGAATTAACGATGGATATATATTATTACGAAAGCCACGGCTGTTGTGTTATCTATTTATGTTATCCAGTACATTTATCAATACATTTTGCGTATTTTTCTCTTTGTTTTCAAGACTTTTTCTTATCTAATGTTTTGCGCAAAATTAAATTTGGAAAGTATGCATAATCGGAAGTCCGGGACTATTTCCATCGCATTTTTTAGAATGACGAATCCGATTGTCAGAAGCTCTTTATATATGTTCACACAATCTGTATTTTGGTTGCGAAAATATCGTATGAATGGGCCTTAAGTCAACTTGCTTCTTTGCACATAAATTTAGACTAAAAATTTCTAATGGTGTATAGTTTTTGTTTTCTAAAGAAAAAAGGGTTCACTTCAACAACTGTTTGCTATAAAAGTTTCACATCCCCGATGGGACTCGAACCCACAACCTTTGAATTAGGAGTCCAACGCGCTATTCCATTGCGCCACGGAGATTCACGTGCAGAAATCGTCGCTCTGCATAGTGCAGCATTTTATGCATTTAAAATTTCTGCATGATTTGCTGATGATTTTCTGGCCAGGCTTTTTTAGCAGGTACCAAAGAACTCTGTAAAAGTTTCTGTTTCA